CCACATAGAAAAATTTAAACTGTAATGGGGATATTAACAGCGCACCCCCTATATGCTACTACTAACAGTCATCATATAATAGGGATAGGTCTGTAATATTGGAAGGGACCTTAGAGATAACAGATTACGGAGTATCATCTCATTTTATATATCCAGAAGGTGACAACTAAAGAAAGTTATGTGATGTGTATGAGGTCAAAATCTTGTTAGCAAGAAAACCAGGATTATAACCTGATTGCCAATATGTATATTTTTTATTTGCTCTATTTCCCTTTATATGGCACCATAAAGGAAAAAGGAAATTGAGAATTCAAAACTTGAGACTATCTATAGAAATCTTATACATAGTAACATATCTATGGGTTGAATATTTAGTGTGTATTTCATAGGATAAAAAATATTTTGTTGTACCCAGAGAATCCAAAATATGCACCAGAACTCACATAATAACAAAAATAATAACATGCACAGTTTTGGTGCCAGTGAGTTTAATCCACAATAGAATTTTTCTCTGTTTTTTTCTGCATACTTGTTAAAGATCTACTTCATTGTAAAGGATACACCTTGAAATGAAACATTACTAAGATTTAAAACAATTTTTTAATGGATTAATCAAATGGAAGGATTAATGGACAGGATGCTTTCTCTCTGTAAGTAGATGGTTTCTTGACTTACCATAAGATATATATTAGAACAAGTACAGATTATCTAGGCAAAGACCACAGTACAAAGGGAATACTCATATCTGACAATAGTTTATTGTATAAGGAGAGTTTAACATCACTATTGGTTCATGGAGTCTTTGCACTAAAAATCTGATTGGGCCACAGTTTGATGAATAATTCACATATATAGAGGCTGGTTGGCACTCTGTAGAAGAAAACAAGTTTGTAGAAGAAAGTAGGTTGAGCAGCAGAAACAGAGTTCATAACTCAGAAATGGCAACCATTGTGTCTCTAGCCTAATGGCTCCTTATGAGAGGTTTGGTGAGGACTGCAGAAGGAAGCAGTTTTTTATGTGGTGTGTGTTTGACAGTCAAAGCAGGGAGTATAGAGTGCAGGACTAAGGCTAGGGTACAGAGCTTATAGTACACTTATGGAGGCAATCACTTGCCCATCCCTGAGAGCAAGTGTCCCATTAAGAGTGGGACACTGTAATAAGTGAAATTGATGGGAAGAAAGCAGACATAGTGTGGCACTAGAAAATAAGAAAATTCGTAGAGGGACAATAAGGAGAATTTCCAGAGCAGCAATACATAAGGCATGGTAAGAGGTTTGATTTTCTGTTGATTAGCCGAATAAAGTATTCTGAACTTGAAAATCACTTAACTTTCTTTGCGTGTCATCATCCAGATATGTAAAATGAGATGGCACTACATATGATTTGTGATTTCTAAGGTCCCTTCCAGCATTACAGACCTATCCGTATTATATTGATGTTAATTGAAGTTCCTTTACTTCAGACTGTAGTCTTCTCGAGTCATAGTCTGCAGCCCCGAATTCTGTCCTGTGTGTGTTTACACTATTAGGATTTTAATTGCAACTGAATAAGTCCCCAATGACATCAAATTTTTTCTCTAAGAATAGCATGAGCGCAAAGAACCATTCCCATATATAAAAAGTAAAGGTGGTGACGGTGGTGGTGGTTGTTTTATTATTGACATCTTGCCACCCCAGACACAAAGCTCAGGCTTTCTCAGCCATCAGTGCCACACCTGTTCCTACAACAGTACTTTAAAAAGTTAATGGAAAAATTTGAATTGAAAGATAATACAAATCCTTCCATGAACTTTTTGAAGACCCTTGTATTTCTGCATTTGTAGGGTTGGTAATCAGACTTTTTGTTATTATGTAATCTCTTTCCCCTTGCTGTTCAGATTTCATACTTTAATAAAAAAAGAACTTGTAATTTCCTCACCTAACCACACACCATGTCCTCCCAAGCAATTGAACCATCACTTTACACAGTTACATTTCTGGAGGTCTCTTCATGCCCAGCCTTTACAGCAAGATAATAGGATAACAGCTGTCTCTCTCACTAGTCATGGAGTAATTTCTAAAAGACAAAAGACTTGTTCTTCCTAAGTTTTCAGCATTCTTCGCAGAGGAACTGTAGTGCAAACTTAAAGTTCAAAACACATCTAGTGAGCTGAATTCAGAACAAAGAGCTGATGTCATTTGGTATGTTGACGGCATTATGGTTGGGATAATTATGAATGAGCAGAATGAGCTTGAAGGCAAGTGCCCTTTTTCACCTTCAGCTTTTACCCAGCCAGTGATGGAAGCCAACCTTTCATTACACCTCTGTCACCTCATTCGACCCAATCATTGGCCCGAAGTTACCTGGCGCCCAAACTCAATAGCAACCCTACAGGATGGATGTGGGAAGAGCATTGTATACATAAGAAGTGAAAAACCACAGAGAGGCAGAGAGAAGAAAAGCAAAGAGAAGGTGAGAAAAGAAAAAGAAATAGTTGGAGATTAGCAGAGGTACGATACTAAGGAAAGATAACTGTGCAGAGAATGAAGGATGAAAAGGGTATTCATCTTGTCTGATCCCTGAAATCTGAATCTTCACATTATACTTTAAGTTTCAATATTGAAAGCATTTTAACATATGAATTTTCTCTCCTACTTTTTGCTATCCTGTTTCAATTCTTGGCCTCCCATTTCAAAGATTCTATTAGAATGAGGGAAATTCTCGAAGTCGTTCCAGAACTAGATCCTCTATATCATTGGACACCCCTTCCTTCCATCTTGGAATTGTTCTGTTGTAAACATTTCTCTGTGCTGATCACTCCTTGTAGGTTCTGTTGCCTTCCTTGTTCAAGTTAGCATCTTCTCGTTCCCAGGACTTTCTCACTGGTCATGCTTCTCTGAAGCCTTTGAATTTGTTTGTTGAAGTGGTTCATTAGTTCACCCTTTACTCATTCCACATTATTTAAAGAAGAATTAATAGCCCACCATCAATGTTAATGGCACTAATTCAGACTCACAAGATCTTTTTGTCTTACTAATAAAAATTTTAACTGCTTCCTTACACCAAAGTCAATGAGCAACTCTGTACCTGATGACACATTTTTATTCATTATAAATCTTTGGGTGTGAATGACAGAAATCTTATTTTATTTTAATTATTTTAATTGGACCTAAACAATACTTTATTGGCTCATGTAATCAAAGAACATGAAGGATGAGTAATGCTGGCTTAAGGGATGATGGAAACCAGAGGCTCCAGTATCTATCGCCAGGAGCTTCTATGTCCCCCTTCTCTATCCTCTGTTTAGGACCTAAACAATACTTTATTGGCTCATGTAATCAAAGAACATGAAGGATGAGTAATGCTGGTTTAAGGGATGATGGAAACCAGAGGCTCCAGTATCTATCGCCAGGAGCTTCTATGTCCCCCTTCTCTATCCTCTGTTTTCTGTCTCTTCATCAGATTTCTGTGTGCAGAGACCCTGATTCCCACACCCTCTGCTCAGCTTATTATTGTGTTGAGTATAAGAGAAAAGATATCCTCTTTTTTTAGATTTAATTAGGAAAAGCTTAAGGAAAACTGTCAGGGAAGATAAATAAACACTCATGGCACATGATTGGAGTAAATGATGATCTTTAATAATTATTTTCCCACTCATGTAAAGTTATTACTAACTATGTTATGGAAAAGCTTTAACTGAATTTTCATACTACATTTAGCCTCTGAAACAAATAACTTGCTCAAATTAAAGTAATGCAGAGAATGTCTGGTCTTAGATCTGAAAAGCACTCTACAGGGATCTATTTGCACTAGGATACTTCAGAAAGCTCATGCAAAATGAAAGTAATTTATAATAAGAATCTTTCCATAAACTTTCTGAAGATCCTTCATATTCTCACTGTCATATCTGAGCAGAGGATCCCAAGGATACCTAGGCAGATTGTAAGATCTAGAACATTGATAATAACCTAGAAGTTATCCAATGCAGAAGTCACTAGAAAGGGATTGTTAATCTTCTATTTGTTGAGGAGCTCAATAACCTCAAAGAAAAACACAAAGGTCAGAATAATTATACAAATTCGTAATTCATATATATATATATACATTTATTTATTTATAATAAGCCAAAATATGCTTTCCTGTAAGTCTTTCTAGTACTCACAGTTTTCATTTTTGTGTCTTTCTGTCTCTCTCTCCTCTCCCTTTCTTTCACACACACATACACACACTAAGTAAGCCATTTTCTCATATATTTAAAGACGATCATAATACTTTCCAGTACCTAACACTTTATATTTTCTTTTTCATGCCAATGCATCAGATTTATTCAAATACTTAAAATAATATATTTTATAAATATTTTATCACTTAGTTGACATCTTCTAAACAAACTCTAACACGATATTGTTTTGCAACAATACTGTAAACTCAAAACCAAATATGACTGTCAGCATAAGATGCCCTCATTCAAAATGCAATGAGAATATTGACTTAATAATGGGCATACTCTCAGTAATGCTGTTACAAATTCTCCTAGCTTTGATGGCAGAGGGCATGCATTTGTTAGCTCTTAGGCACTGGAGTGCACAGAGAATCTGCCCATACACCAGGTCTGCTGCCATTCCTTAGGGAAATTGATTTCCTAGGTAAGATACTCGGAGGGCTTGGAAACCCAAAGACGGACCACAAATCAAACTTTGAAAATCAATGAAGAGTGATGAGAGCACATTGGATGCAAGAGAGGATGGATTTATTAGGTCAAAAACAACTGAAATTCCATACATTTCAAAAGAAGAATTTATGTAACCATGAATCACTTGTTTCAAAATTACAGACATTTTACTTAATATTTTGGCCACTCATTTATTTACCAGTTTGAAAGAGCTAGTGTCCACCAGTGTTTGATGCCAGAGAAAGAGTGAGAAGCTGGTAGTTAGAGGGGTTAGCTAACATTGCTGAAAAGGCTTGTGATAGCAGCTCTAAGTGCAGACCAAGACATTTTGCTTAGAAGGTCTGGAACTTCAGCAAGTTGATCTGCAGAAGGCTGATCCATAGGTTGGTCTGTAACAGGAAGACTGGCAGCTGCTAGAAGCCAGGTAGCTTGGGCGGCAGAATCCAGATCCATAGCTCACAGAGGGGAAGCCACAGACTCCATAACGCAGGGGTCTGAAGTCACTGGATCCACAGCCCAGGGAGCGACAGCTGCTCGATCCAAAGCCCAGAGACCCAGCATAGGTCGTCTGGCAGGGACTGCAGAAGGTGGAGATCCTCGGGCGGTAGCAGGACGTCTGGCAGGGGCTGGACACCACACAGGATGTCTGGCAGCTGGTGGGCTCACAGCAGGTCTCCTGACAGCCACTGTAGAGAGAGGATCCCAGCTGGCAGGTGCGGGGAAAGCAGCTGTCAGTGCGATAGAACAGGTTGCTGGGGTAGGAAGTGCCACAGGAGGCGACTGGGTATTGTAGATAGCTCCCAAGGGTGCGGGAAGAGAAGTTTCCAGAGCAGCTGTTAAAGGACATTTTGTTGGGAGATGTGAGTTCAGCTGGGTTACAGTGAGAAGATTCTCTGGGTTTCAGTGTCACGGTCTGGACTCCAGGTTATATATACTCTCAAACCTGGGTGTGTCTACTGTCCAGATGCTTCCCGCCTTCTTACTCATCTTTTATTTTAATGCCTTCCTAAGTTATAGTTTGAGTTTAATTTGTCGTATCTTCATGTACTTAATTGTTCTCTAATCATTGTGGTACATTTAGGAGGAAGCCACTCAGTTTCTTTTCCCTATAATTCACTGTGGTTTGACCTTCAATGTTATAGGTCGCCACGTTTCTGAATATCCTCCCCCTTATTATCCATGTATACAGAGAGTCTTTGTCCTACCCAGTGGAATTACGTAAGCTCTTTCTTCACTTCCATTGAGGAGTTATGAGGAGCATCAGTGGTTACTATTCAAAACAGTATGTTGTTTTCTTCACAAGTGCATCATAATGGATTTTCCAAATACTAATTGTACTCAGTAGTCTCAAAAACTTGTCATTTAATACTTTTACTCGTATCTTGAGCTCAAGATCAGAATTCAGAAGTACAGCATTGTTCTGGGTGTTCAAACCAATGGATTTCTTGAAGAGGCTTCCTCAGACCATTCAGAACAATAAATGCAACACTTCCCGCCAACCCTTTCAATTCAGAATACAGTTTAATTCACTGAAATAAAACAACTCAGAGTGCCTTTCATCTGCCTTACTGAAATTCTACTTTTTTCCCCCAGCATTTATTGATTGATTGATTTTGATTGTGGTAAAACACATATAACATAAGAATTCCTATTTTAAACATTTTAAAACATAGAATTGAGAGAAATTAATCACATTCACCATTCTGTATAACCAGTACCTCTATCTATTTCCAAAACTTTTTTGTCCTAAACATAAACTCTGTATCCATTAAGCAATAACCTCTCACTATTCCTTCCCCACCCTGCCGTCAGTTTTTCTAATCTAATTCATTATCTGAATTTTTTTTTCTTTTTTATTTATTTTTTCTTAATTGACCAATGATAATTGTATATATTTAAAAGGTACAATATGATACTTGGGTACATTTGCACTGTGTGCAGTGATCATATCAGGGTTTCTAGCATATCCATCACCTCAAACGTTTGTCACTTCTTCATGCTGGGAATATTCAACATCATCTGGACTAGCTACTGGAAGTTACACAGTAATTTGTTGTTGGCTGTAGTCTCCTTCTCTTTCTATAAAACACAAAATCTTATTCTTCCTGTCTCTCTACAATTTTGTATCCATTGACCATCCTATCCCTATTCCTTCCTCTCCTCTCCCTTTACCAGTCTCTACAACCACTATTGTACTCTTTACTTCTATGAGATCAAATTTTTTAGCTTCCACATATGAGTAAGAACATGCAGTA